AGCAGAACCAGGCTCAGGGAGGGGCGGGGCCATCTGCTGTGATTGGTTGGGGTGAGAGAAGGAAGACAGGATAAAGACATGCTGTGGAAGAGAGACGAAATCTCAAATAACCTCTTCCATTAAGTTTCAAATCATTGAAGCTGACTAATGTGTCATTTCATTATTTTTTTTTCTTAGAGCTTCCTATCGTTGTAATCATTACTCCAATATCCAGGCATGAGGCTCTTTTATCTCACCATAAAACAGTTGGCAGCCTGAGTTTCGATTTGCTTCCTGATCCATTAGCGGTACCTAATCTTTAAACGGAGATATAACAGACCCAGTGCAACACAACAGGCCCCGCCCTGAGTGAGTTGAACACAAATGCTAACAAAACAAAGCAACTGTCTGGACAAAAGGCTAACAAGAAGGTTTTTTCCTCGCAGCACTGGTAGCTTTTGTTGCAAGATGTCAGTACAAACATGCTTATCAGTTTCAAGTTTCTTTATGGAAGCCCCCCCAACCCCACCCCCTAAGAAATATCTTTGATTTTTATTCAGATGCAAATGTGCATCCTTAGGGGGGGGAAGGGCATTCTTTTAAACAGAAGGGAAAAAAGGGAAAAGAAAGACGGAGAGGAAGTTCAGCTTATCACCACTCAACAGATGTTGTGACTAAATGTGTTGGTTTGTCTCATCACTCAGGCTGAGCGAAGTAAAGCTCCAGAGCCGGCCCGTCTGAATGGACGGAGTCAACCAGCTGCAGCTAAAACACACACACACACACACACATTTATCTAGTAGCTGTAATTTGCTTCAATGACAGAGGTGGAAGGAGCCAGAGGATCAGGATGAGAACTTTGAGGCTGCCAAAGGCCGCTGGCCAAACGCAGGAAATTCATTTTCCAAGAGGAGACATTAAATGCATCATGCAGCAGGACAGACAGTGCCACAGCCAGGTAGCTTTCAGGAAGTGCTGAGTGGACAGAGTGGGGGACTTTTGACATGAAGAAAAAAGATCAGAACATTGTTTAGTTCCTGTGAGACCGAACAGCAACACAGACATTGAAAACACATTTCTGTTTACTACATGGTTTGAAGCCAGGTTTTTCCAACTGTATTTTCTATGAAACACATTCTGATGAGATACAAAACTAGCTGCATTTATCACAGTCTGGTCTTCTACATATACCAGTGTCCGGGCATCCAGTGTTTACTGTTTCCGAGATAAGCATCCCATTTTTGGATGGTGTTCGTAAACTTTTCATGATTTTCCTCATAACTTTTCACCGTTATGAGGAAAATCATTCCAATAGAAGTTAAAGAATAGAGACAAAGATGGAAATGGTAAATAGCCTGTATTTGTATAGCGCTTTTCTAGTCCCTAAGGACCCCAAAGCGCTTTACACAACCAGTCATCCAC